AATTACAATATTTACACGTAAATGTCACTATCTCTTAATGTGTGAAAATTCTAACTAATGTGGTTTTACCAAATTATTCAAAAGTATTTTGACACATGGTCAATTGAATAATAAAATGATATTATTCTGAAAATTAAGGAAGTTGTCAATTTACTAGTTGCATTTGTCGAATCATAAACTCCACAAAAATAATCACGTCTAGAGCATTTGTAGTAATCGTGAACCTTTTTACAGATTCAATGATTCATGACTCTCCCATATCAGTTTTCTTTTCCATGCATGTTTTAGAAATCTTCTACGTAATCATGGATCGGTCCATTGTTTATGTAATTAAAAGTTACAACGATAAAAATTATAACAATTAAAAATTACAATAATAAAAATTGTAATAATTAAAAACTACCAAAAACCGATTTCTTTTGGACTTGTTCATAATTTTAAATGGTTTCATAATTTTTATTTACTAATTTCTTAAATGATACGATCATTAAAATTGTCGATTTTCTAAAACATATCATATAATGTGGTTTATAGCCTATTTCAAATCTCTAGTTTTTAGTGTTTGAATCTCCTGTATGAGATTGCAATAAGTACCAGGTTAGTTCCAAACTCATCACCATCACCATGTGTTTCTTTTCTTTAGAACTAGTTTTAACAAGAATAAGATGGCCTATGACTTTTTTCTTGCAAGTTTTTTTGAGAGATTGACGTTGATGTAGAATATGCAGCTATTTGAATTGTCTCATCCCTTTCTTTGAGGAAACAGGGAAGGAGTCGGTGGTGGTTGGACTTGGTCGTCTTCTTTTTTCTTTATAGTGATGGAAGTAGGTTCTTTCCTAGTTTCCTATATTTTGCTTTAGTACAGAACACTTGGTTAATGGCTTCTTTTTTAGCTTAAAGTTTTTGTCCATAACGCTTTCTCAAAGAGAAAGTTGGCCAACGACTTTTCTCCTCTAAGACCTATATTCTGCTCGTGAGCAAATATAAACATAGAAACCTAGGATAGGCTATAAATTTTGAAACAATTTTAAAGGCCACTTCATTGAAGACCAACTTCTCATAGTCAATATTTTTCTTCTTGTGTAAGTATGGTCATGGTCTTAAACCTAAGGGTTGTTTACCAAATTCTTATCACGTGTTACTTATTCTACTGGTGAGTATGACGATGACCGCTAATCTTACCTTTTAAGTAAGAAAGAAGACTCTTACCCGATAAATGCTTACCAGGTAAAAAACGTTTACCACAATTCATTTTGATGGTTAAGAATGTTACCCAATAAGATAAGTGAGAATGATAACTTTTACTAGTAAGCTTTTATCCTATAAGTGTTTGGTAATTAAACGACCCCTAAGTCTTCCTAATTTTATTCTAAAAATAATAGAATTAGATAATTACTCTCATTTTCATTATTTATTCCATTTTAATGTTTTTCAAATGTATTTTTATATTAGAGTAACTGTTTATCTTCTAAAACATAAGGGGATGTTTATCAAATACTTATCGGATAAGCGTTTACCGGCAAGAGATATCACCCACATTTACCTTATCGTGTAACATTCTCGGACATGAAAATGGATTGTTGGTAAGCGTCTTAGACCCGGTAAGTGCTAACCAAGTAAGAGTTGTTTATCACACTTACCGGATAAAATTCTCAGTCCTTGCATTGACTCTTACGGGGTAAGTTTCTCGCTCCTTATCATGTTCAATCAATAAAATAAATAATACGGATAAACGCTTATCCAGTAAGCAATTAGTAAATGACCCCGTACTTTCATTTCAATTAATTGTATGGTACTCTCACCCATCAAGTAGACCTTTGAATAAACCAAATTGCAAGGTAGCCTAAACTCACAACCAAATTTTTTCTACCAATTTTTAATGATTATTGACATTTGACAGTTCATATATGATTCTATAGAGTGATGAAATTGATTTTATGGTTTATATTGAAGGTAGTTTTAAATTAAAAAAGATGAATACCGGGTTGTTAGTAGTGATGATAACTTTTGGTAGACTTGGATGAAGACACGTTCAATGGCAGGGTTTTTGATGTCGATGAAGATAATGTTTCTAGTTTAGATCATTTATCGGACAATTTTAACTTTGATTGATCATTAACGATGTGTTGATGCATTTTCGTTTATAACTGATAGCAGTCTTAAGACATATATAACTTCATTATTATATTTCCCCTTTTTGCTCATACAAGATAGTAGTGTTTAGGGCATTTTTATAAAATTATTACCCGTATTTCATTTATTAATTTATGAATATTTACGAGGTTGTATGTTAATTTATACTATCTTATAAACTAGATTTATCAAAAGTCTTAAAAATAATTTTTAATGCACAAAGTGTTAAAAAAACAACTCATAATGCATTAAATACTACTACTTTATGCATTCAGTCTTAAAATTTCTTAATTTACAATTAAAATAACATATGGTACAAGTTACCAATGCACATTATTATCTTTTCTTTTCATCTTTCCAAGATACTTTTGATGTCTTCTCCCCATCCCCCAAGGTGAGATTCAAACTGATATTCACCATGAGTTATTAAAAATTCTCTTATTCATCTCTCATTCGATTGCTCTAGAACTCTCGGTCTCGCTCTCGATCTCTTGATTCTTTGCTCTTGGTGTAAATCGAACACATTTGTGAAGTCGTTTAAATATGTTGGATTTTAAACTGTCATACAATTTTTTTCATCTGTAATTAGAACCATAACTCTTATTTATTCAAATTGTATTAATATGTAAAGACTAAGTGTAACTTATATCATCGTTTAAATCTTCTCTAATAAAACCAATAAAACTTCAAAATCGTTAAAATTCACGGCTCCCACCGCATTACGCGGATACACAACTAGTTTATTAATAAAAATGTTGTAAAAATAATCCTAAAAATGTTATGAGAGTTGCAATCATTTAAACAATTTTATAATTTTTATGGACATTTTTATAAATAAAAAGAAAGAATTACAAATTTTACTATTTGATTAGTTTTCTAAAAAAAAAATTGTGACAAATTTTAGAATTAAAAATAATATAGAATATTTTTGTATAATTAAAAAATATAATTTTTTTTACATTTTCTTTGAAAATGCTGACATGAAATTTATTTTCTTAGTTGTCATTTAGAAAATAAATAAATAATGTCACATCAAAAAACAACCGATCTTAATCAGCATTTATGTGTCATTAAGTAACACATGTACTTAAAAGTTTATGATTTCTAATCTCAAGTACCAAAATAAAAGTTCCAAAATTTTGTTATCCTTAATAGAAATCAAACTAAAACACATTACATTTTTCATGCAATTTACCCTATATTTCATTAGTTTATGAAAGATGGACTCTTTCAGAACAAGGATCGATCTTTATAGAAGGACCTCTCCTCCTTTTAGGGGTGCTCACGGCCCGGGTTGATCGGTTTGGAGCCGTTTTAGTAACCCAACCCAATGTTGGCGGTTTRAAAATTTTCAACCCAACCCAACCCAAACAAAAGTTCAACCCAACCCAACCCAACTCGTTCGGGTTGATCGGGTTGGTCGGGTTGATCGGGTTGTGTTTAAACAATGTAAAATCACATAAAAATAAAGGAAACTTTCCTTTGAAATACGACCGACTATTCAAGATAATATGCAAGTTCATCAAATATTTAGATATTACAATAAAAATATTCAAACTAAATGATAATACATCAATCAACAACAATAGTTTTAGACGTTTCCAACCCCGATGCTTTCGCTTTCTTGACGTTGAGGTTGGTCATGTCATGATTGTCATCTATAATTCAAAGCTAAAGTTAAGGTCGGGTTCATCGGGTTGGTCGGGTTTTTTTGGGCCTGACCCGATGTCAACCCAATAAGGTCGGGTTGGCTAATTTTTTTATTGATCATGCATCGGGTTACCTCGGGTTGGGTTGGTCGGGTTCATCGGGTTCATCGGGTTTTTGAGCACCCCTACCTCCTTTAGGTGCACTAAACCGGTTCCTCCCTATCCGGCCTTTTGATCTAACATGGGGCCTGCCCTCGAGCTTATTAGTTTCAGAATTTTGCAGGTAACTTGAAAATGACGTTTTTTTCCGCATCTTCATAAGAATAGAAAAAGGATTTTTTTTTTAATTTAAAAAAGGAAAAGAAAAGAAAATGGGATTAAAATGAAACCAACTTTCACCTAATTCCTATTTTGGGGAACCAACTTTCAAAATCGTCATTTTGGGAAACCAACTTGCATCTGATTCCTTTTTTGAGCAACCAACTTTCAAAATCGTCATTTTGGGGAACCAACTTGCACCTGATTCCTATTTTGGKGAACCAACTTGCAAAATAATTATAGAAAAATAACTAAAATTCGTTTTTTCCAAAAATTAATGCAATAAAATCTATTTTTCATTTTAAATCTCGTTTTTTTAATTCAGATATCAAATTGAACATTTAAAAAAAATCTAAATTACCACAATAAAAATTGTTTTTTACTAATGCAAAAAAAATCAATTTAATAGAAAAAAAAAATTAATTAATGCAATTGGTTATATATAAAAATCTTGAATGTGATATTTAATATTTATTTTTTATTGCATCAATTAATTTTTTTCTATTAAATTGATTTTTTTGCGTTAGTAAAAAACAATTTTTATTGTGGTAATTTGGATTTTTTTTAAAAATGTTCAATTTGATATTTGAATTAAAAAAAACGAGATTTGAAATGAAAAATAGATTTTATTGCATTAATTTTTGGAAAAAAAATGAATTTTAGTTATTTTTCTATAATTATTTTGCAAGTTGGTTCCCCAAAATAGGAACCGGGTCCAAGTTGGTTCACCAAAATGACGATTTTGAAAGTTGGTTCCCCAAAATGGGAATCAGATGCAAGTTGGTTCTCCAAAATGATGATTTTGAAAGTTAATTCTCTAAAATAAGAATTTGGTGAAAGTTGATTGCATTTTGATGCAATTTTCCCTTTTTGTAATTTGGTGTTTATTTTATAAAAGTTGAAGTTCCAAGGAGAAAACATTATTTTTGTAAAAACAAAGGGGGGCTGTTAGTGAAATGTCGCCTTCTACTACCTGGACACGGTTGCTCCGCCGTAGTGTTATCATCCCGCGGCCTTTAGCCGTTACCGCTCTCATACTAGCATGATTACCATTGCTATTACTAAATTCCTATTAGCACTTGCTTAAAGCTGCAATCCAATTCGAATCGAAACAAAAAGAACCAGTATGACGATGAGAAGGCCGTTACTGATTGGCGTGATAATCGTCATGGCTCTTGGACTTGCCGTCTACTTGAGGCTTTGGACCATTGATTACCAAATTTCCTCCAGCGAAACCGATTTATTAAGGTAAAAACTTCACTTTCCGATCTTCTGTTACAGATTTCATTGGGTTATCTTTTTCAAAATTATACGGACAACTTAGGGATTTCTGTGTGTTCTATGTTTGATAATTCAAAAGCATCCGAATCCTGAATATGGAGATTGATAGAGAGTTATATAGGTTTGTAATACAAGGATGTTAGGGTTTAGAAATGAACGGGATTTCATAATGTAAAGCAGCAGCAGAGAAAGTTTAATCTGCAGATTTCAATTTGGGGTAGCTTCCAAGGTGAGGTAGAACCGCAATACATTTAGGCTAGGCCTTTTCTCCGGCCAAATCCATACAATGACATGTTTCTCTGTGTAACATATAAGTCAATATAGCATTGGTGCTACATATATATACAGTATACTTATGATGGATCATTGAAGCTAATAGAACCATTTCGATCAATATGAAGCTATTAGATTTCATTAGATATCAAGATCGTTGACATAGATGGCTATAATACTTGATTTTCCTTCAACTAAAATGATTACTTGTAGTGCAAATGGCCAGAACTAGTGGATTTTGCATAATGTGAAATGTCAGGACTTGATTACTTGCAATTGATGTAGTTAATGCATTATGATGGATGTTATGAGAAATATGCTCAAAACTTTTGTCAGCACAAAAATAAGCGAAAGATGTGTGCAAGTATATGCAAATCTGAGCCATCTGGCTTTATAAGTAGTAAATTGCTAATAACCAAGCAGCTTATTCTACACTGGTTGGACTTCAAAGCTTAGATTATTAAGTAGAGAAAACACTCATTTCAAGAGGGTGAAGAATAATAATGTTTGTGGATTGGTGAATTTATGAATTAAAACATGCTATGGGTATAAACTCTACTGAGGTGCCAACATTTTGCAACTTCATCTATGTCAACTTAAACCAAATGAAAACTTTTCCAAGTTTATAAAAACACTCGGTCTCGAATATAACACATTTTCCTATGCAACCTTAGTTTGTATGAGGTAACAAAAAATATTGGTTTAGCCATGTTAGGCAACAAATTCATATTTCTATTCTATGTAATTACAGGAAATCCTTCTAGACCTCCATTGCATTATTCAAGTTAACGTTTCTTGTGTTAAATTCATTCCTGGACTTTAACTCAGATTTCACATGGACAAGATTTCTCTACTGTTTCCTGTACCTCAGCTTCATTTACACCCACGCCAACTTTGGAACAGAACATAAGGCATAATACAAGAGGGATAACTTTGAACCAATTTTGTATTAATTAACCAAAAGTACAACTTGTAACGCACCGAAGTAAATGTAAACAATGGGCAGAAAATAACGACAAAGTAAACACGATGGAAAGAAAAACATAAGCAAATTAAACTTAACTACCTGAAACAAAAGACGAACATGAACTTGAGGATTCAAACCCCTAAATCTACACCTAGTTGGCGACTCTAAGAGGATGTCAAATCCATATTTTCACAATCATTTTGTTGTTGAAACCTTGTATTGTATCTATAATTGAGTGCAGGTTTCTCCTTCCTATTTTCTTTTACTTTTTAGTGACCTTCCTTCTTTTCGCCTGACTCCAGACACATGCTTACCTTACATAGTTTCAGAAGCATGCTTAACTTTTTTTTATTGTTGATTTTTTTGTAAAAGCCAAATGGTGAAAATATTTCACCTTAGTATAAATTATGAAACCTCTGGTTATACTTATCAAACCACCTTATCTGTCTTCCTTTAGCTCCTTTCATTCATCGAATTTCGTCCAAAAATCAGCATATTCATCTTTTAACTGAATCATTATTCATCACATATGAGGTGCTACCACACTTCCCGCAGTTGAACCAAAACTAGGAACTAAGAACCATATTACAGATGGTTTGACTTACCAGCTCCAAATGAAAAATAAAGAAATTAAAAGAGATACAATGACACAGAAAGAGGAAAAACATGCACAAAAAGAAGGATAAACACACTAGAACAATGTGCAAATAACTCTCAAGATAAGAATTATCAATGGAGATAAGTGCAATAAGAAAGTTAAGAACAAAATTAGAGATGAGTTGACAAACTTTATGTTAGATTCCGTTCTTACAAACTAGATCCAACTGGCATTAAACACAATAATGCAAAGGGATTTTGCAAGAGATGAAGCACGAGTGGAAGGAGATAAAACTTGGTTTAGAAAGAGAGCATATATGCATCAGTGAGTGAAGTGTAGTTTTGTGCCATATGAACTAGACAAAACCAAACCAAAACAACCCAATACATCCCACTTGAAAGTAGGGATCTCGGGGGTGGGATGTACGCAGATCTGACATCCACCCCGAAAGGTAGAGCAGTTGTTCCCGTGAAGACCCCGGTTTCTGCAAAAGTGTAAGCAAAATGGAAATAGTAAAAAATATGCAACAAAAGAGAAGGAAAAAAAGGCACATTGAAACATAGACAATGTAAAGAAAAACGAACATCCCATCCAAATAGCATATGACTCTTGAAGACCTCTGCTAGCTCCCTAACCTCCCATGTCCTACTACCCTATTCCTACGTCGCCAGAAACTTCTATGATAGGTTATATTCTTGAAAATTTCTAAGGCCACCTTGTCCATCCTGAGCTGCTCATCTACGTCCTCCTTGGCCCCTTGGCTGTCACACCTTAACTCTCCTACCCGATGCCGCGGTCAATCACCTTCGGATGTGACCAAACCACCACAATCTTCTCTCTCAATTTTTTGTGATAGGTGCAACTCTGAACTCCACCCGGAAGATCTCGTTCTTATCCTATCTACCATGATCCGGCCACAAGTCTATCTATGCACCCTCATTTCCAGAACTTCTAACTTCATCTCATGGGTCTTCTTTGTAGTCCAACACTCTGACCTATATATGATAGATGGTTTGATGGCTACCTTGTAGATATTTCCTTGTAGTTTTAGTGGGACCTTCTTGTCACGTAAAATCCTCGTGGCAGCTCTCCACTTAAACCAGTCTTTATGTGATGCATTGTAACATCATCGATCCCTCCCTTTGTCCGAATCATGGAGCCTAATTATTTGAAACCGTCCTTTTAGGGTACCTTTCCCCAACTTTGACTGTACCCCCTCAGGCCTCATCAATAATTCTCCCCACTGAAATTGCACCATATGTATTTTATCTTGGAGCGATTTATGTGTAAGCCTTGTGATTCCAATGCCATCGTCCACTGCTCATTGACCTCTACCTTCTACTCTTCTACTAACACAATGTTAGCAAATAACAATGTGTACAATCTCAGAGACTAAAGAGAGAGAAATGCTTCTTATCACCCACAATTCTAATCACCGGAAAGAACTCACCATGTCCATGTGTCCCTCACTTTATTGTTCTCAATTACAAAAAACTTTTCCCCTAATTGTCGTGTTGTGACCAATAAGGCACCGTCTGCACCTGTTGCACTTAAGGTGCGGTTCCTCTCCAGTGCCACGTGTCTTAACTACCTAGATTTCAATATTTTATTGATTTCTGTAGCTTATCTGGTTATCAAAGCTTCAAGGAAACAGCATCTCATAAACAACTGTAGCTTTTAATAAATGATGGAGGAACTTGACCAAATCTTAGAGAAGAGAACCTTAGATATCAGTTCTCTATCCGTCCAGGTTTTCCAGTTTCACCTAAATATGTAATCATTTGTTGATTTATTGCAGAAGACAATTTGATCTTGCAAACATGGAAGCAATGGATGAATCAGCTGAGTGGAGACTCAAATTCGATGAAGCACAAGAACGAGCAACCAAGTGTGCAAAGGAGCTAAAAAGGGTGTGTATATTTGCAATCACATGTTCATGAATACATCTAATCCAAATTTCATCGTAGATGCATTTTCAAGAATACACTATGGCAGCCAAATAAGTTTGAATCCAGCAACAAGTTGGGTAGAGACTTCTTTGTGCACTGGCTCTCTTTTTTTTGTTCTTTCTTTAACCATAGTTTTTTTTTTTTTTTTTTGCACCTTCACTCCAACTAGTCCATGAGGTTCATGCAAAATGCTTTCTCCAGTTGAACCTAACAATATTTAACCTTCTGGCCAATGAACAAGCTACTCTGATAGTACATAGTGAGAATTGAACTTGAGACCTCACCATATTGGAGACCGACTTGGTTTTTGAGAAGAGATTGTTTCGATGGCTCAAATCCCAGTTGTAGATGCTAATGAAAACTCATCGTATTATGAACATTTTTTAGGATTGTTAATCTAGTTGATTTATGAACAGGTTAAGGAAACTCTTGGGGATAACAGCATGACCAAGAGGCTAGATATGTTGCAGAAGGTATAGTTTTATTTATAATTTTTGTATATGTGAGGGGAATCAGAATTCTTATATTTCCAAGTTATTATCAGGAGAATATAAACTTGCTGGAAAGGGTTGAGACCTTAAAACAAGAGCTTGAATCAGAGAAGTTGAAGTGCAGTATGCAGAGAGCGTAGCCGTGTGTTAGATTTTGAGATCGAGTTTTGACCAAAGATGGCAAAGTTATATTTAGAATTTTAGATCAGGTGAGAAGTGCAGCAGTATTTTGTTGTTACATTTACTGTAATGTAGACAAGAATGTTTTCTTTATCCTATAGAGAAATTAAAATCCATTGTTTTGAAAAAAAGTAAATAAATTAACAGAAGATCGGATTGAGGTTTAAACCCTAAGATTTGGAATTGGATTTCGTTCTAATCCTGCTCTTGGTTTATAACAGAAGTCTGAATTGAAATACGACAAACATTAAATTTAAAGATCTCATGGGGTAGTCGGTATTTCAGGCAATTCCATATTATATTCGTAAATCTTTATATATATTAAAGTAAAACTCATAAAGAATGAGATGACATCCTAAGAAGTAAGTATTCTTCATTTCTTGAATTGTGGTTGAGTTTGTGTATCGCACATTGATGGAGATATGAAATATTTACAATGAATGGTAGGTATTTTAAAGGGAGATTTGAGATGCTTTTGTGGCAACTCATGAATTTGGCTACTTTTGGTCAATCCTCTAAACTCACATTGTTTGCCTCATTTTGGCCAGCCCTCCAAACTAATAGGTTTGCTCATTTTGGCCGACCTTATTTTAGCCAAAAAATCTTTATATATACTAAAGTAAAAACCCAAAAAGAATTAAGTGGCATCCTAAGAAGTGAATATTCTTCATTTCTTGAATTGTGTGTGGTTCAGTTCGTGTATCTCGTATTGATGAAGATATTAAATATTTACAATGAATGATGGGTATTTTAAAGGGAGATTGAGATGCTTTTCTGGCAACTCATGGGGTTCACTCATTTTAGTCGGTCCTCTAAACTCACGTTGTTGGCTCATTTTGACCGACTCTCTGAACTCATGGGTTTGCTCATTTTGGCCAACCTTATTTAGCAAAAAAAAGTAATCATACAAAATAAAATAAAAATAATCTTTATCTTTATGTATATTAAATAAGCCATATTAAATGAAGAACAAAGAGATATTGAGTTAACATCAGTAACATCTAGGCACATAAAAATCAGGGGCCCAAATTTTTTATAGTATAATATTAATAGTTAGAAATATTATAATGAAAAAAAAAACAAACACAAATTAATTAACCAAAAATCTGATTACAAACCCTTCCAAAAGTCCAAATCCATCAATAACATTCTGTCAAACCAAAACACCCCTTAATTAAACACACATCGGTTTGCTACTTACGGTGTCATGTTTATATATTTTTGAAACTTAAACGGTAAAAAAAATTTGCTTAGAGAAAATGATCTAAAAGGAAAATAAAAAGGGTATCTATGTAAATTACAAAGAACATAATTAGAAAAAAGTGAGAGAAAAAACCCCAAATAATAAGTTATATGAAGTAGTTTTTCAAAAAGCTTACTTATGGTTTCCAAACAAAACATGATCTAGACACACTTTCATCTTCACAATAAACCTTTCAAGTTTCAAATGTTTGTGACAAAAATTGTGGTAACAATGTAGCCATAATTGAACTAAACTAGAATCTAATATCTTGATGACCAACCAAATTTGAAATCAAGGTACAGTTATACAAAATTTGACATCAAATGTCAAAACACTCATACCTGCTGCAAAAGAGCAAGCAAAATTTTGTACCTCACAACCTTAAATAGTTCGTGTCCCATTGAAATCTTCACAAACTAAAATGTGTCTCTTTGTCATTGTGACGCCAGCGACCAAAAGTTCAAGAAAAAAGATGGAGATACGGCAAACCAACTTAGAAAAGCCAAAGCTGTAGCCGACATGAACTTTTTGCAATGGTTTATATCACATCTATCAAGATCATTGCTGATAAGAACCGTGATGCCCGCACATGCACATGCAGCAGCAAAAGTTAGCGTCGAGGTAATCTGTGCCAGAGGATGTAAAATTATTGATGATTAGATTACTCATGGCAACACACAACTATTTAGCTGAATGACTGAAAACTCATTAAGGTCATTTATCCAAAGGACCCAACGGTCGGGTCTGGTCTGGTCTGGTCCGGTCCCGGTTCCATTCAAAAGCAGGTGAGAATATTAAACATGTGTCTTATTTTGCTAAAAGATTCGGATATCTTACCCCATCGCCAATTGTGTACACAGTAATAACTGCAGGATCCCTCAAGCTTCTTTTGACACAAAGTGCATATACATCGATCATAGCTAGCGACAAGCTCCATAAACTTTGCAAGCCAACAGCAGCAACAAGGTATCTAAGGGGCATCCACACTATCAATTAGATTATTTGGTGACAAGCTAACAATAGCAACTTTTCATAATGCAACTGGAAGTAATATAGACCAAAACAGAACCAGCCACGTTAATGGCAACTTAGACACGGGTTTACCACCAATCCATCATGATCGACCACTTCAAAACGCTACCTAAGACAATGATACCCTTCAAAATCATTTTTCAAATCATGATTTAAGGGCATGGATTCAGTAGAAACAAGTGAAAAACATGCACATAATTCTACAAATTCCCATCACCAGATTGGGAATTTGGGATGCCAATATCCAAAATCAGCACTCTTGTGTTTAATCTCTATTAGACAAAGTTATATCGATTTGTGATATTGAACAGCATACAAACTCACACACCCATGTCTTCAAAAAGGCTGGAATTTCACATTTCACTTTTACATGGTATGACTAACATCCCCCTTTTTCAAAGCAGACATCCCTTTTGTTTAGTAGTAGAACTGTCTTGGAATAAAACTGTTGTACTTTGGCAAAAAAATTATTCCCAACAAGAATTGCCAGCATTGCAAGAACGAAGTACTCCATAGGTAACACTTAATTTGTGCCTCTAAAAGAACCCAACCAACATGTAAAACAAATGCAGCAGCCTGTGCTCCGAGAAAAAGTCATATTACATGAAATTTCTTACCAACGGAGACACGGTTTTGCTAAAGCACGCCTCTCTTAATGAATTTTATAGGAGAAACATGTACGACTTTTCATATTGAACATATGTGGTATATGGTATAATAGAATGAGTATATTATGTTTACTGTCCCTTTGTATATCGTTGCTATATGTCATGTTTCATCAAACAATGTAGGTACAAAAGCAACGAAATTGATGTAAGAACTTCAAAATTGTGGTTAATTTCAAGAATGGAGGATTTGTGGCCTTTAAGTCACAATTAAACCACCTTTCATCAAGACAAGTCACCTTTGTTGTTGACACACCATTACAACTGGCCTTCCCTTATTGTCAATCATCTTTTTATTCCTCAGTGCCAATCTCTCAGAAATTAATTAAGCTAACGATAGATCACCATTGGGTTTTGGTCACAGTGTTGGAATCTCAGTCAATTTTGGTTTTGGTCTCAGACCAGTTAACATTTTCACATGGACATGCGAATATGGATTTTGGTCACAGACTAGTCTCCTGGCTCGGAAAATTCAGTCAATTTGCATTTCGGCCAACCTTATCCTTCTCCAGCGAGTCATATTTGACAACACCATTCACTGCAAATCTGCAACCACTGTCCTCCATTATACTTTTGGAACCATTTTTTGCCTGTTAGTGCCTCAGTAGTGTTGGCATCACCTTTTCGGTCCCTATCTCAGATGTCTCACAATAGGTAACAGTTCCAGATTTCGCACCTTCATCTATCATCAGTCATCCTTGCAGTCTTCAGTTAGTAACCTTGATTTTGGTAGGAACTTTACCGAGCCACGTTTCCATGCCCTGTTGTTCCCTTCAGCCCTTGGTGATGGTCTTCTTAATACTGGCGGCCTTCAAACCATTGGCGCTTGTTTTTCCTAGATTTTAGAATGGAGAATAGGGTTCAGGAAAGATTATCAGGTCATGGCGACTAGGGTTGAAATGGTAACACATGTGGTGTAGATGTTGTGATAGGATGGTGATGTGTTTGCTAGGACTTAGCCAAGCAGAGTGGTTGTTGGGTTCGGGATTGGGAGCTCCTTATTTCGTCAACAAATGGTCCCAGGCTTTTAGACAACGAGTCAACTTATTCATAGGTTTCAGTATCTTTCAGAATTCTCTTTGTTTGATTTTACTTTCCAGTGTATATGTATCTAGTTGCAAAAAAACGTTCAGGCCGTGGTCAAATTGGCATTCCAAAACAGTCAGGGACATAAAAGCTACCATCTTCAAGTCTTAATAGATATTCAAGATACATATATATAAGGGTTGGGTTCCGGTGAGAATGCGAGTTATGGTGAGAAGGGTAAGAAGGGAACCCCACCCTTGGATCAATCCTAATTGAAGAGTTCCACTAGGTTAACACTAATGAGAAGCACCGGATCAATTCCCTTCTATAGCGCAATTCGTGGGTTGGTTTGAGATTAAAAGTAATCAAGGGTCCAAATCCCTTCTTACACTTCTCACTTAACTCCTATTCTCGAACGATCCTTCGTCTTGATGGAATGAAATTGACTGTTCTGTTTGGAACGCCATTCCATCAAATCCCTTGTTCTCCATACCTTTTTTAGGGAGGCAGGGAGTGTTTTTTATCCATTCTATCTGACAAAGAAACCATAACTACACATATATCAATTTCCAGAACAACACTGTCTGTATCTTGTTCTAAGGTCTAACAACCCATATTGTTTGTGGTTCTGTTTTGGATCTTTGTGTTCCTTCTTTTCTAATTCTTTCATGGTGGTTAGTTGGTGTGCGTAAGTTTTTGAGTTATTATGTACAACTTAAACATTCATTTTTAATGTGCATCCTAAAACTTAAAGTATTCACGAACAAACATTTTAGTCAGCTTAAATACCTCAACTGCTGCAACAAATTTCACTTCTTATTATGTAAGTTCCAAAATTCTATAGCTTTAATAAGGATTACTGTTATGCTAAAATACTACTCTGGCACCTAAAAATAAAACTATTTGATCAAGATCTTCATAATAATTTATTTACAATTAGTTTGTCACTAAACTTTCTATATGTCTGTATGGCCATGAGGCATGTGTTTCTAACCAACATAAACTTTAGCAAAGAAAATAACATGTAGATACACTGAAATTCATGTATCAGTATTTCGGAAGAAGGTACACGATTAAACTTTAAGTCTTAAAAAGATTATCTTGATCTTTACACGCTTTTTAGAGGCATTTAGCACTACGGCTTCAAATTTTAATTCTCCTGGAAAAGTTGCAAGCAGTGGGGACTTTAGTGCATAGAGTAGCACACGATAGGCATAAGTAGCTCTGTTTTAAAAATTAGGCAGTATTTTATTTTCTCCTTTTAGTGGTGACTAGACTCATTTCTGGTAAACACACAACAAAAGGTGTCACATGTACATTTTTTTTCCTTGTCTAGAATTAGAGATTCAGATTTGATTAGAAATATAATTTAATGGATATATTTTGTGTTGCAGAAATCTAATACTTGAAACTTAGATGGCAAAGTAATCTTCTGGAGACATTTGCATGTTTAAAGATCATAGATAATACTAATCAATCTTAAAAATATGGTATTCTGTGTGTGTATATATATACACTCACATATACTGACATAAATATCAATGGATATTTAGTTAATTCACAGTACAGCTCCTTGCAGCTTTAATAGAACTGTTTGCTGAAGATCTCGTTAACAATGAGAATGAAACAATGCTAAATCAAACCCTAAAAATTATTGTTTACGTAATCACCCGTTATCTTTTGCCACATCGCAGTTTATCTCTGATGAACCTCGACACAGAACACTTGATTGTAAAAACCACATCGCAGTTTATCTCTGATGAACCTCGACACAGAACACTTGATTGTAAAAAGAGTTTCAAGAATGTCAAACCGGTAAACCTTAATCAACGGTACATGGGTTTCCTACCCCCCCCCCCAAAAAAACCAAAAATGATGTTTGATTTATAAACTGCCATCCGTGTTGGCGGTTCGACCTTGCTTTATCATCTATGGACGCTGATAAGATCCATTACCACATAATTAATAGACAGCACTAAGCCAGAAACGTCAAACTGCAAATCATCATTACATGCTCGATGATGAAAAGCTCTTTCACCATAAACAAACTAACCATATGTATCTAATATAACTTGCAAAAGCTTACCCAGGCTGTCATGTTATAACATTGCCTAAAAATTACACAAACATATAAAGCGAGACAGAATCAGACCAAAACATGTGCACATGAAGTTGCCTATTGTGGCCAGAGAGCTAGAATTCACCTTCATGACAATACCTGCTTGTTCAGCCTCTTTCCAATCTTATCTCACTACATACTAACTCCCAGAATTTTACCAGCCATTGTCATCTAAATGCTACCTTAATTTCACACAAACAGAACAAGCAATCCCACATCACCCTCATCAACCCTATCTCACATCATTTATGAACGTGAAGCATGAGCTCCTCATAATTTGTAGGTAGTGGGCTACGAACGATTTCCAACCATGGTTTTAGTTGAATTGAAGATTATTGAGTCAGTATGTTACTTTGGGCTTGAGGTATTACAAATGGTATCAGGGCAATGGCCTCTCAAGGTGTGGAGAGTTTGGCTCTTGCATATCCCGGAGATAATGACTCTGAGACTATGTTTAGGTTGGATGTTGGAAACTTAAGTGGAGGAATTTGTAACAACCTTGGCCCAAATTGATTATGAAAGGTAAAATATGAATTTCTCCTAAGCGTTGTCTATTGGGCTACTAACAATTTACCACCATGGTCTATTTAATTTTTAAGGCATAGGGTCAGTCTTTTTGTTTGGTCTTGATGTGTTACTTTAGCGACAGAAACCAAACCAACCTAGTAAATCCCACTTGAAAGTAGGGCATGGGAGTTACATGCATACAAACCTGACCTCTGCCAAGTGTTAAATTATATCTCCAAAACCAACATGATTTCTCTGAACCTTACTATGCTGTGTTGATTAATGACAGACAAAACCCTGATGACTCTTCATTCTTTTCCAGCATTTCTAAACCCGTGTCAGACTTATAACCCATCATACACAAATGAACCATTTGAGTCTTTATTCTCAATGCACAAGAAAATTCAAGTTCAAACCTTGGTTGCTAACTCACTAAAACTTAAGCCCATCGAGATGGAAAACATGATTACTCTCCCTGGCTTCTAGCTTTAAAGTCAAACCTAATAATTTTAAAATGCAAAATCGATAAGGATTTTGTTGCAAATTAACACCAGTATTTTCTTATTTCATGAAATAATAGTCATGAAGTTTAAATGTATTGGGCAATTATTCATGAGAATATCAGAATCATTGTCAATTTTGAAGTTGAGGAGGAAAACCTCTTGACATGCAAAGTCAGAGGGTATCGATTGTATAAAGAAACAAAAGGCGTATAAAAGAAAGTCAACAAATTACCGGAAAGCGGTGACGGAGGGGAAATCAGATGTTGTAGCCATGACGGTGAGAGAAATGACGGTGAAGACGAACTGACAGAGACGAAGGGCGAGTCCAGTTGACGTACCAGGCATGCCTTCCACGTCTTTCATCCTCACTCTTCGAGGCGGCGCTACATCGTTTCTTCCGTCAATCAAAGGCGGCGGCTCCACCGGGTGCACCGCCGGCCGGCTCATACTTATCGCTTATTTGCACCCAATTCGGTCCCCAAAACTCAAATTTTCCAAACAGAAATCACATCTGCATATAATGATATCACAACCATGAACGATGAAACAGGGAATTGTATCAGAAGTGATGTAACAACAGATATGCTATGCAATCTGTAGATTGTGGTGACGAACTTTTAGATTTTGGGTTTTATCGATGAGATTTTTCCAACAAAATTGAGAGAAGTTAGTAGCAATCGGCGAGGGGAATGTTTTGCTACAAGCCTCCAACTTTATGCTTCAATGTTTTTATTTATTTCTTCATCCCATTTTATTTTTTCTCTTGATTTAATTATTATTTTGAGAGAAAAGAAAGTTGCAATTTGTTTCTTAGAATCTTTTCTCATTAATAACCTCATGGCATCAAATCTTTTTGTAAATTTAATATTTCGTTTGCTGCAAATAAGTATATTTCGACAAATTTATTAAAATAATCATAGGTTGATAAATTATTTGAAACAAATTATGTTTTTTAACAAAAGCATTTATCAACTTATTATAAGTCAGAAGAGTTTAACTTCTTTAAAAAATTCTTATTACCGGTTTGGCACCGGTATAAGTTGTTTATCCAAACACTCACAAAGTGCTTATTACCAGTGTCATATCGAAATAAGTCAATAAGTTGTTTTTATAAGCAATCTCAAGCACCCCATGAGCTAAAAGATAAAAAAAAGTTACATTTTCAACCTCTATCAGCAAAAAATTTACATTTTTCACATTGGTTCGCAAAAAAAAAAATCATTTCTCACTCAGGTCCGTAAAAAAATTACATTTTTCATCCAGATCCACACAAAAAAAAGAGTGAAATTGTGGGCTTAGGCTATTCCGATAAACCTTGTAAAGAAATAGCTAAGATGTGAAACCAATCGGTAAAAATGACTATTTTAATTAATTTCCCTATTTAACGTATTTAAGTGCATCCAGACGTGTACCCATAAAATAAACTAGCTTATAAGTTAGCTTATTTTTGTCAAACAATGCCTAAATCGCATTATGTCTCTTTAAACTATGGCGATCATTTAAAATAAATCGACCTATTCTTAACGGTAAATGGAAAGTAACAACCTATGGATCCATATGATGAGATCCTCGCTATGTTGGCATGTTGCTGAAGACCACCTCTTACGTTTGGTTAGGGTACGTCTCTCAACTTTAATTATCTCTTTCGTCTTTCAAGTAAACATTTATGATAAGCTTCTTTTGTCAATCGTCTCTATTTGAATATTTTTTGTGTTTTTTTTACGGATAATATATTATTTTGTGTTTGTTTGATAAGTAATTTCTACTATTGTGTTGGACGATTTCAAGATATGAATTAAAACATGCCAATCATGAAAGGGGAATACAAAAGGTTTTCTTTTGACACTGTATTATAATCTTTATGATTTGCTATTATTTTATGCGTCGGTGCTTGTATCAGCGCAAATTTAAAGTTTTCTATATATTTTTGCTTGGTTTCTTGTTTCATCGATGATTACGATTCATCAAGTTTGAGAACTATTAAAAAAAATAGAAACTCGTCGACTTTATTGTCGAATTTGTAAAAATTATTGTCCTAATATTGAATGTATTTTTATGCGAACATTTTATCCATGTAATGTCGATGTGTTTTTCCATAATAATTATATTTTTACATTAGGTTCGTCCTTATTTCAATTTATAGGTTCGTCTTTTGGTTTATAGATGCAAACAAACAATGGGCAATCCAAAAATATTATATGTTAAATTGAAGTGAATAATATTTAACAACAGTCAATAAAAACAAATAATATAAATATTACATTATAAAACATTTTGTTTAAAGACTTGAAAACAATTATTTAAGTATTTAGTATTGTTAACTGATGCATACATTAAAAAAATTACTTGACGTGTACAAATTTGTCAAAAAAATTAATGTATATTTCATGTCGAAGATTAAAGTAAATTTCATCTTTACATTTAAATCTAATTTATTTAGTTCACAATGAAAACTTTGAAATTGAAAAAAATTATCTATACTATATTATAAAATATTTGACAAAAATTCTTAAAAATAATTTTTTATGCATAAAGTATTTTTTATTGATTCATATTACTTAAAATTTAAGATTACAAGTAGAATGTGCATGAGTACATCTTATTAAAGCTTTATGTTTGAATTCGTATAGCTAACTGTAGATAAACATAATCAAATACATGATAAACATCATTTTAAATATAAAAATCTAAAATATCATTAAGATAATCATTGAATTATAACAAAATACTTAATTGATATCTTAAATAAATTATTTTATTAAACCAAAAATAAATAAGTTCATTTTTAAATTTCAATTAAATCATAATAAAAAAATTGAATTAACGAAATTACACAAAAAAGAGAACTTTTAAAAAGTTATTTTGATACTAATATCGCTTAGTTTTATCAAAAATTTATAATATCTTTAAATTTATATTTTATTCAAAAATAAAAATATTTTATTTTTCTCAAAACCACATAAAATTGCATTATAACATTGATAGACCCAAAATATAAAACGAAACAATAAAAAACAAGACGTATCTCGCTGTATTGTGTGAGTACCCTTTTAGTAGAAAAAAAAATTTAATATTTGATTTAACATCTAAATCGATATATTTTCAAAGTGTTTATTTTACCGAATCCTCAAATTAGCACAATACATTACAAACACAAGTATTAGATTATTATTTTTTTAAATAAAAAAATTACATAATTTTTTCTTTTTCATTTTATAATAAAATATTATATCATGTTCAATTATGTACATATTTAAATAGATTAAAACTTCATTAAAAATATATTTATATTGTGATACTGGAATATCTTAAAAGGATTTTTCTAACAAAAACATGATATAATAAATAATTAACAAGTGCAAGAAAAGGGACACAATTTGCTGCTTAAACTACAACAGGAAATGCTGTTAGTACGATAATGAGCGGAAATTATGAGGTCTTGGTGTCGGGATCCCATCTTCCAAGATTAGGAATCAGAAGACATTTCGATGATCCTACTTATGATATGATCTCGTCCCTTTTTATTTTCTCCCTCTTGAATATCAACTACTCGTTATTCAAATCCAGACCGGAAACTGAAGGATTTTTCTTGGGTAACATGGGCGTACAAATTCATAAAAGGGAAAAAAGAAAACCAGCAAAAGAAAAAAGAGTAAGCTACAATTTAGGTCCCTGTGGTTTACATCCAACAACAAACAACATCTCTAAACTCCATTCAGTGATAGGGACGATAGAAAGGAAATGATGATGAGGCGACGAGAGGTTTGAATGACAATTATAAAATCAATTTAAGTTTTTTACATTAAAACCTTCCTAGGCGAGAAATTTGATGATTTATTTATTAAAAAAATGTTCAAGATCTTAATCATTTAAAATGAGAAAGTTTAATGATTTTTCATTTAAAAAAAGTTGTAAGGACTAAACCATTCAAAATAAGAAAGTTTAATAATTTTTTATTCAGAAAAGTTCAGACACTAAACCATTCAAAATAAAAAAATTACTTATGTTTTTTTAGACCTTTCCCAAACTTTAATTTCAAAAAGTTGCTAGAAATCGAGTATCAAATATAGAAAATGGAGAAAACAAACAAAAATACCAAAATAAGAGAAAATACAAAAAAAGTATATCAAAAATACAAAAGAGAAAACTAAAGTACAAATAGAAGAAAATATCCATTATTTAACTGAGATCTTTAACGGTGTTAAATTCAAAGTATTACTGTATTTAATAAAGTTTAGGGACATTGTTCATAAATGAGTGTAAACCATAGGGACCAAAATTGTAGTTTACTCGACGAAAAAAAGAAGAGTAACCGAACTCCCCTGCTCCTCCGTCACTCCCTTTAGACTCGGACACACACACACAAACACAAACACTCTTATCTCTCGCTCTTTGGATCTCAAAATTATGAAGATTATTACGAGAAAAATCGTCCTACATGCTTCGATTCTTTCACTCCTAATCTTTCATCCATGTTTCTTGAAGCTAAGACGAAGAAAAACGCCATTAACATTTGTAAATGGCTTGTATGTGGCTGGGTACAAAACCTGAGGCATTTCGCCTTGAAGATCATACTTGGTATTCCACTTAACTATCCACGGTTTTCCTTGATTTTAATTGTTTTTCAGTTTTGAAATCAATTGTGTATATGTTGCTTTACTGATGCATGCATTGTTGTCTGGATTGTTTTTGCTAACCCTACCTTCTTCGTGTCAAAACGGATTTCTTTAATACGAGTTGTTTTCGATCAAATGTTTATGCTACTAGTTCCCACTTCACAAAAAGACTATGACATTCGTTAAGTTACGGTTATGATCAATTACTGTGTTCGTTACAAGAAAAGAACTGCAGTTCGATTTTTTGATGTGAAAGTTCTTGATTTTGTCGAAAATTGATGGTATCGTAGTGTTTGCCACAACTTATCATAATCCTCTAGAAATCCAAAACTCGTGTGGTTACCATATACCATTAAAGATGATTAATGGACCATTGGTTGATTTTGTTTAACGAATTCGCTAATGTAAAGTTTAGTAGACGATGCACATCTGTTCTTCCAAACCTTCACCTACCTTTGGATGGTATCACTCGCCTTCTGAGGGTTTTACTAATGAGATTGATAAATTAATGCCTTTCACACACCTTAGTCAGTCATTTGTATTGTTAAAACTTATTTAAAGGAACGTGACTTGATTGAACATGGGTATATATGCATTATTCTATTAATGAAGTGTTAAAAGACTCATGGGATTGTTAGTTGCAGCAGTAATAAGTTCTAACCACTTCTGGTTGAAATCAGATGACTTTTTAGAGTCTTCATGAACTTGATGTGTGTTTATGATATATTCAAACCAATATTCATTTACTTTGGGATAATTCCACGTACTTTCAATTTTAGATGGTAGATTGTAGAATTTTTTATATGAGTTCGTTTGCTTGATTTGCATGAGAATCAGGTTATACTTCCTAATCACCATCTTAGGCATCCATGGGAGTAAACTAAAGAAAACCAGAAAAAGAAACGTCACATGCTTGTGAATTTTGTTGGAACCAATTACAAGGGAAGAAAAACTGAGATCACTTTTTCCATTAATTAGGAGTCAGTGGTATATTAAGAAACTGTCATGAGGTGGTTCATTAATTCTTACAACCAATTCTAAACCTACATTTTAACATTCAATCGTGTTCCTTTCAGGCAATGTACAAGCGGGCTTCCAAGTGATGTCACAATTGAGATTGGAGAAACGGCATTTAATCTCCACAAGGTTACTCATCTAGTTTATTCAACCACAATATTTGTTTTGTATGTTTTTTAGCGGACATATATGCTTGAGCCTATGCATTTTCTTCTCATTTGTATATATCTATATCATTCATACAGTTTCCTTTGATTGCAAGAAGTGGGCTACTGACCAAGCTGATCGGAGACAATCCTAATGAAGATGGGCTGGCTTGTGTTGTTCACCTTAATGACATACCTGGTGGAGTTAAAGCATTTGAGCTTATAGCCAAATTTTGTTATGGTGTAAAGTTAGAGATAACATCCCACAATGTTATCAGCCTTCGTTGTGCTGCAGAGTACCTCCAAATGACCGATGATTATGGAGCGGAAAACTTGATCACACAAACAGAAATATTTTTGAATGAAGTGTTTACCACTTGGTCGGATACCATGAATGCTCTTGAAAGCTGTGAAGAAGTTCTTTCAGATGCAGAAGAGCTTCACCTCATTTCAAGGTGCATCAATTCTTTGGCAATGAAAGCTTGTTCGGGTCCCAATGCATATGACACCCGTGCCATGTCAGCAGTGAATAACAATAATATCACAAAAAATCCTATATTCTGGAATGGGATTTCTACCTCTGCTAAGCCACAGACATTTGGTGAAAACTGGTGGTATAAAGATGTATCTTTTCTTGGTTTACACCTGTATAAACGAGTAATTCTAGCTATGATGTCAGAAGGAATGAAAGCTGAGACTATAGCTGGGTCACTTGTTGGCTATGTGACGAAATATATACCCTTGATGAATAGGCAATCAAGTTTCAACGACGCAAGCCATTCTAAACCAGTTTCCACCCCATCTGAGGCGGATCAAAGGGTCCTTTTGGAAGAAATTGTGGGGCTACTTCCTAACCGAAAAGGGATTGTTGGTACTAAGTTTCTTATAAGGCTCCTTCGTACTGCCATGGTCTTACATGTGAGTCCATCGTGTAGGGAAAATCTGGAGAAAAGGGTGGGAGCCCAGTTAGATTCAGCTGTCGTAGATGACTTGTTGATACCCAATCAAGGATTCAATTCAGTAGATACCTTGTATGACATTGATTGTTTTCAAAGAATACTTGATTATTTCATGTCTATGGACTCGTGTAGCGCAGTATGTTCTCCGTGTATAGTAGAAGAGGGGTTGGAAGATGGAGCTCAATCTTTGACAACTATGACATCGGTGGCCAATCTGGTTGATGCTTATCTTGCTGACGTGGCTGCAGATGTTAATTTGAAGTTTCCGAAATTTCAATCTCTTGCCGTTGCTGTCCCAGACTATGCTCGGCCACACTCTGATGGCATTTATCGTGCAGTTGATATCTATTTAAAGGTAAAACTTGTCTTAGTTCAATGTTAGTTTGGATTAAATGTAAAAATGCCGTAGATCTGGAGCTTAATCGTAAGAACACTACAGGCACATCTGTGGCTGACGGACTGCGAGCGTGAGCAAATCTGCAGGCTGATGAACATCCAGAAGTTGTCATTGGAAGCCAGCACTCATGCAGCTCAGAACGAAAGGCTACCTCTTCGCGTGATCGTGCAAATCCTTTTCTTCGAACAAGTACGGCTGCGTACGTCAATCGCTGGGTGGTTTTTCGTGTCAGAAAACGTGGAGGATCATGCAAACGACAGGGAAATGGTTGGTTCGGCATGTATGGGTGAAATGAGGGAGCGTGTTGTGGAGCTTGAAAGGGAGTGTGAGAACATGAAGCTTGAGATTCGGAAATTGGTGAAAAAGAAGAGAAGTTGGAGCTTCTTTTGCAAGCGAAGAAGGCATCGACGTTTGTAGTTTCAAATTCCCTTCAAAATTATGATGTGCGTATACTAAAATATCATATAAAATTCACTTATCATGATGACTTTTAAACGAAATTAAGACTCCTTATAAATCAATAATTCTTGAAGTCTAAATTATATGAAAAGATGCCATTGTTATACGAGATATAATATAATTGGAGTGGATGAAAACTAAGGTGATATTTGGTTTATAAGATGACATATGTCACAAGAATTGAACTCTGAAAGAATTTGAATGAAATTTATCAATATTTGATCATGGGTTTAATTGACACGAATTTGAAATAAATCTGTCAAAAAATTGAAATTTTTGTTTGGTTCATTAAATAAAACTTTGGTATTGTAATAAAATAATAATAAAATAACAAAATACATCTTTATGGCATTTTCATGTTTTGTTGCTTTAATTTAGATACTATATAATGATAAAATTCTTAATAAACTTAATTGATGGTGGTGGTGGTGACGACGACGATGATGGTGACGGTCGCAGTAGATGGAAATTTGAAGTAAATATAACGACATATAATCATTTTCTTAAATACAATGTCTAAGGAAATTAAAATTCCTTACTAAACTCGAGAGATTGAAATTCTATTATGAAATTGGAATTTCATCATTAAAACTTAAGAAATAACCAGAGATATGAAATTTGAATGAAATTTGATTTGCGAAATTAAAGGGTCCAATTTTAATAATTTTAGATGCCGGCCATTATCAAAGGTGTTTTGGAATGTTTATTTGAAACAATTTATATTTTTCTATAATTTTTATCAATTTATTATAAATTAGAATAATTTAACTTTTTAAAAAATCCTTATTACCCGTTTTGATACCGTTATAAACTATTTATCTAAATACTAAAAAAATACTTATTTATCAATGCAAGGAATAAGTCATTAAATTCTAATCGCCGACTACTCTTTGTTTGTTCACCCTCCCTCTCGCCTGTCCGGCGTTCGCCATCTCCGGTTGCTTTGCCTCCCACCCCTATTTGCTTGATCACCTGCGACCAGTCTGAGCCTTGGACTTCATCGCCTTCGACCGCTCTACATCGTCGTATCTGTCGCCGCCGGCTACTCCTTTGCTCCTCGTTGCAACAGGTATGGTCCTTCTGCGCCCTCTTGTTTACTTCCCTCTTCCCCGTTTCCCTATGTTCTCTCCCTTTCTTTGACTACACCGCCAAAAACCTTGATGTTTTAAAAGATCACATTTATTTGATAGATTAATCTGGATTGAGGATGTGATCCTATTTTCTATTCTGAAACAGGTCTGTGTATGCAACTGTATGTCGAAAACTTATGGACTAAATGTAACAGTGACTGACGTCGAACAATATGTTTAGGTATCTAGTGAAACGATCCAAATGCACATTAAGGTTATGGTTTCTAAGTCAATATGGTCTTATTTTTTGTTGCGTAATCACCGTTTTCATCAATTTCAGTTTCTAACTCAATATGGTATCTAATTCTAAGGGTACTAGCGATAAGCGCTTAGGGCAGAGGCGGAAGTGGTGGCACCATTTGACTATGAAATAAAGAATACGGATATTTTTCACAACCTCATATTGGTCTGTTAATCAGTTCCTCGCCTTTCTTATGTGAGGTCATATGTTCAAGTTTTTGATAACATTTTTTTTCAGGAACATAATAAATCTGAAATTAAAAACAAAAAAAGTAAGAAAATGACACTAACAAGATTCGAACTTGCACTCGGGATGGGAGAAAAGTCATGCAAACCAACTCTATCAAAGGAACCTGTGCTATATTTATAGTTTCAAAATATATATGGTTGCACGAATAATATAGTGGCACCTTTCACGACCCTAAATATTTTGCCGCTATGATGGAGAAACAAAGCAGTGGCCTGTGCCACCAAATGGACTAGTGTGGGTCTGCCCCTGTTACTGGGTGAACTTAACAATGGCTGAGAAACTTACACGGCAAGAGGGAAGACAATGATCAAGAGTCTTACCCGGTAAGCGCTTACCGGGTTATAAACTCCTACCATTGATCCATTTTGATAACCAGGAATGTTACCCATAAGGTAAGTGAGGGTGGCACTCTTGCCGGTAAGCATTGACATGGTAAGCTCCAAACGGCCCTTAAGCCTGTTGAGCACTACCTCGTCGCTAAGTTTGTCACCAGCACAATACTTCTCATGTTTTAGAAACATCTAACTTGTGAGCACTACCATGTTTAACTATTATTTTTTTGACGCAAAATTATGTTTCTTTGATGTTCAACTATGTTTCTTTAATGTTAACCTGTTGAGCACTACCATCCAACCTGTGGATGTATAACTATGAATTTTGTAGCTATGGCTCATAATCATTTGATCGTACTCGTTGAAGTAGCGATGGTGTACGTTGACTTGCTCATGTTAGTTGCTTATTTGGGAACTGGTTTATTGAATTTGAGAATTGAAATTCAATAAGAAGATATTTGCCCAAAGGACATTCAATAGACTTCAAATTAGATCAACACAAGTACAACATATAACAACACATCAAAGTGATGCTAACTGTATAAATGAAATGCTTTTGCAATTTTGTGTAAATTTCCATTATGGAGTCAAAATTCATGATCGAAAAGGAATTTGCTTTTTCTGAGGTCCTTCGCCTGGAAAAGACATGAGATCCTTGATCACTTTATAATGACTATGCCCTATTACAGTTATTTGCACCAGATGCACACATCAGAAAGTTGATCTTTAACATGTTAATTTTTTGCATATGCACAATTTGAAACTATTTTCACTCACATAAAAATGGGGCACCAAAAATCTTATTAATGTGACCAAGTACAAGATTAATGTTGTTTTGTTTTTAATGATTAGATAGATAATTATCAACCAGTTGTAAAGCTATAGGGAATACAAAATTTGAAGTGAAAAATCTTTTCAAGGCGACAAGGACTTCTCTAAGAAAGGTTATTTCATAAAGCAGATCCTTAAAAGTCTTAAAAACAAGTTTTTAAGCACTGCTGTTTTATGCATAATGTACAGGTGATTAATGGTTGTATAATTTCCCATTACATTGATTTTCCGTCCCTCCCTAATCCTCTTGATCATGCCCCCCTTCCCAAGGCGACATTCATCACCTTTGCCCTAAAAAAACTCTCTCTAATTTGAAATCTTTTCTCTGAGAGAAGAAAAGGCCTGCTTTCAAGAATTATGTTCATCATATGGAGAATCATAACCGGATATTGTAGAGCTCAGAGATTATTCAAAAGGTTTATTGTGTCTGTCGTTTAACTTACAGTATTGTTTCCGTTTTATTGTTTAACTTATGGTCTTTGGATCTTGGTTAAGATTCAAGTAACTGTGGTTTTTGTCTTTCTTGTCCCTCATCTCATAAGTTGCATTTTAACTCTGATTATTGATATGTATATGGTTAGGGTTCACTGCATATTTACTCTCCATCCATCACTCATCTCCATCGATTCACTACTGTGTGTTGATTCACTCTCCTTCTGATCCAGGTAATTTATTTTTGTTTCCTCTTTCTGTTGTTTCTTCCTTCTGTGTGTTGATTTCTCTTCACTTCTGTTTGTGTCTCAGTGTCTCACTTCTGTTTGTGCCTCAAAGACATTTATTTTTGTCTACTTCAAGACTTCAACTGGCTTTGTTGATTCTTCTTCATTTATATTTGTTGGCACCAACATATCAATATTGAAAATTGTTTATTGATTTATTTTTGTCTCCCGTGCTTAGAAGGTGTCTGAGGAAATGTTGCAAAGACGTTTATTTTGTTTACATTTTTTGTTTAGGTTGTTGGGAGCTTGTTATTTGCAGCAATAATCGGGAGCTTTTTGGACTGTAATCTGTATAGTTAATATTTGCTATTGCTCTCTTCAATTTAATGTACTAGATACGTTTTTTGGCTTAAATAACAAATACAACAGGATTGCCACTCCGGGGCAGAAAACTACAATTTCTTAGTACTAATTTAATAGCTCATCGTTGTGCTATATGTAGATATGCAACTCCCTTGTAAAATCTTGTGAACTTCTTCATTATCACCATCTCTATGAGAAAAATATATGTTGAAAAATGGCTTTTCTGCATCTAATATACACATCATATTATGCTATAACTACTTAGAAATGACCACAGGTGTTTATAATATAAATACCAGCAATTAATATATATATGTAATTGCATCCCAGCTTTGTTGATGTTCTAATTTTTGCATGTTAGCGTGAAATGAGGTATTTTATAGACCATAACATTAAATATCAATCTTGCCATGTTATAATTTTCTAACATAACTCATAATTTGTGATTTGTAGTTTGGTGCAACTCTTTGGACATGATTTGTTCTGTTTGGTTTTGAGGATTTATTTATCCACTTGGTGTATGTCAGACCTGTCATTGCCCAAATTTTGTGCAATCACTTTGCTTCACCTGATTTCACATACATGCATGTTTTACGTAGTAAAACTATATTTGTATTCTGTACTTTTTGCTTGCATTCATTGAAATGTTGTATCCTGCCGCATCGCGTGGGTACACAACTAGTGTTATTACATCAGTTAGCTGCCATGATCAAGCATAAATGCTCCAATGACTCATTAACGATGATCATAATTGATTTAACACTTAGTTTTTACATGATTTACAAGTCCCATATTAGAAGCTTCCACCTTTCAGTGATCGGGATTGAGTTTTGGCGGGTCAAGGAAAGGTTTATTACTATTAGTAGCGAGCCGGCTTTTTTTTTTGGGTGAAGGAGTAGCAAGCTGGCTTTAGTACACACACATACTTAAATATATACATGCATGTATATAATTGTTACATAATGATTATCATGCAAGTTGAACAACTAAGTGAATAATAATACCCAAACATACAAGGCCTCGTGCATGTGAGGGCCAAAAGAATGTTTTTGTTTGCTAAAGATGGAGGGGCGTGTAGGTTTTAGTCCCTGTATATTATAAAAAACATACACAGAATTAGTTACAGCAAGCTACCACCAGCTACCCATGGCAACTTGTGGCTTGTCATCTTTTTCTCTCCATGTCATGATGTAGCTTACAACTTGGTATATGCTTGTTCTGAGCTCTTTATGGTTCTGTATTATATATATGGTATATGTGTGTTGTATGTATCAATTAATCTTATAGGCAGTAGTAATCTATCTACCTGGCTCTACGAACTACTTTCAACCTTATTGCTTTTTGATAAAATAAGACGAAATTAATTGAATTTTTAGAATTAACCGTGTTAATATTTAATCTATATAGAACGTATATTTTTTCCAAAGTTTATGGTTTGACCCAAATGAGGTTTAGAAAATAAATGAGGCGGTATTGGCATATATGATTTAAGTACGTAAGGTTGTTGAATGTAGATATACTCGAAGCTTGTATGCTGCATTGACAATGGGCACGAGCATTCAAGATCCAAAGAACCGTGCATTCGAGGCAATAGCGAGAAGAGAAGTTTATGAGCTTCAGTTACAACAAAAGCACAAGCATAATAAGAGATCTCTTGAAAAGAACACTGTCGAAAGTTCTGCTGATTTTAAGTGTACAAATCAGGAAGTTCCACCATCCTCATCTGCTGAAAATATCCCATCCAAGAAAGGTTATTGAGCTAACCCTTTGTTTTATATAGCATGGCTTTATAGTTAAACAGTCGGTTTTTGCAAATCATTTTAAGCTTTATTAGGAAGTTCCACCATCCTCGTCTCCTTTTGGCTTTTGCAAATCATTCTAAGTTTTATTAAATAGGGTATACAAGGCCAAAACATTGCAAATATATGACAAAGGTCTGGGGAAAATCTGCGAACTTAAAATGGGGATAACTTTTGATCTGGGAGGAGTTACAGAGCCTGCGACCATTCCATGGAAAGGTCTAGACAGGCAGAACTCATGGGGAAGCAACCTTCGCTTTTGGCCCAACTGTATTTTGTTGTGACAATATTTCTAGATATTTCCTTCTCATTGAACAATTTGTTTCCTCTCTAGTGCACCAAGTCTTTTTTGTGTTGTTGATAGATATCACTGTTGCTAAAACTCATATTCTTTGCTTATGTAGTGTTTATGGCTCTTTTATTTCCTGTAACAAATAGTTTTTTAGGATTTGGTTGGGGGGGGGGGGGTCTAAATGGGATACCCAAATTCTTTTCTTGTGTTTGTAATTCTTAGAAATCCATAATATGGCTTTGTTGTTCATGGATTTGTCCACATGTTTGTTCTTTTGTTTTTATCTTTTATTTCATCTTTCAATCTTCACCATTGGTATTATGGTATGCACAAAAACGATCACATGGATAAATTGCTTATATATTTTATCTCTTTTCAAGCTTCACCATTGGTATTATCGCATGCACATATATGATTAAGTGGATAAACTATGAGCTATTTTTATAGAAGCACCACATAACACGTGTTAATTATTAGTAAAAAGGATCGTGGTTCTTAATTTTTTTGTAATTGATAATACTTTTGGTGTTTGTAGGCAAATATTTTTTCTCAGGGCAAACCACCACACGAGGTACGGATTATGTTTATAGTCCTTATAAGAGCAACGTTATATTTTTACTGTAATTTGTTAATAAAAAGGCAAATGGCAATCATTCTTTTCATCATCTAACATAGTTATGTTCTTAAACTACCATATCACCCGGCCATCAATAGCCACCCAGAAACCCAGCCACAATCACCACACAGCCCGAATTGCAATCTCTACCATTGGACCACACCATGTCCTCTTTATCTTCTAAAACATTACTCATTGCCATTATAGAAGTGACTTTATAATCATATTCATTATCATGATCCCTCACAACTTAATAGATCCAGAACCCGCATGTCTTCACCATGTATACAATGCTTAATCTACAGTTCTCAGTTTTCATCATGAATTCTCTGTTGACTTATGTCTTGAGTGTTGATGGCAAGGTGCACACTGAAAATCAATTACTCAAAATTTTATCCTCTAAGGAAGGAGTTGCCAGTTACATGACAATAGCCTTCAGGTTAAGCAGTCTTTATATATTCACCTTGTTTACTCACTCAAACTGGTTATACAGATGCAGATGGAGATCATCCTATATATCTTCCACTCTCGCACCCCGTGCATGAGAATCTAGCAATGCCGAATCATGAGGTGTTTATCCTTTGCTTGTATCGTATTATGCTCATCTTATCATTTGAGTTGGAGTATTATTTCAATATTCCTTGAATTTATGCAGGTAAATGTGATCGACAAGATTTTGCATGAACTTCTGCAGAGTGGCGATTCTGCCCAGAATTACATGCAGGGATCTAGAAGAATGAAAATGGACAATCGGATCCATCTTGATAATAAAGTACAAGAGTGCAAAATGTCTGGCATTGCACTTGCGAAGGCTTTACAGAGCCACTCAAAGAGATCAACAAAGCACATGTCAATGAAACAGCACAAGAAATATGGATCATTAGATTTGCCTCAAGAGCTCCACAAGTGAGCATTCCCCCCTCTTCGTGAAATGGGGTCTTTGTTATCCATCTATTAATTCTGCTAGGTTTTACAGCTTTCACACAACTTCAATCTGGCATCTTCATTATATATTAGTGTCTCCTGAACTCCTTTCACCCATCTGCATATATATATATATATATATATATCATCTAACACTTTAGATTTATTTATTTAATTGGCAAACGGAACAAGAGTTTCCAGTCTGTGACCTTCAAGGTAATAGCACCTAGGGGACAGGACGAATACCTTTCAAGTTAAGCACCTCATAATGTTTTGGATTTCTAATGTTGAAGCTTACAGAAACTATTATTGGTCTCTCATTTCATAAAATTTTCAGAGAGATCAACATCTGTAACCATTGCACTTGGCTTTAGCTTTCAAGAAGCCATCTTAGTTGCAGAAATCCCAAAACAAGGCGCTATACTTGGAGAACTTGAACATTTGTAACCATTGTACTTGCTTTCAGTTTTCAAAAGGAAATATCATTGCAGATGCAGAAATTGGGGCGAAAAAGTAAAAGTTATTTTGTCTACTGTTCTTTTGGGATTTCTACCACTACAATGGGGCTTCTTTCATGGGTTACAAATGTTTATCACTCATTATTGGAATTTTTAGAAACTTCAGTTGTTTTTCTTATTATCTGGTTTGCCTTGTGGCGTCTATGATACATGCTGATCCATAAGTCAAGACTTCTTGTCCCATCTCATTCGAACTCCACATCCTATATATTACACATTTGCACAAGATGCATATACTGATTGAAGGGCACATTGCTAACGCCAAACCAAACTAAACCAAACCAAACAAGCCTGTTAGTATATCTCACTCGAAATTAGGGTCTGGGAGGGGTAGGATGAACACGCAGACCTTACCTCAACGAGCAGGGCATATTGCTAACTGCAAGTTATGCAAATGTCTCAGGCATGGACATGGAGTGGAACATGAACTTTTAGATTGAAATCAATAGTGCCTGGTTTAAGGGCTTGGATATGGGCGGATGACACTTGCTATTTCACTTTACTTTTGTGTGTATGTTCTTATCATTTACTCCTTTCAAATCTTGTGCGTTATCTTTTATATTTTTCATCAAGGTGAACGGAGAACCAGAGAGAGTATTGCATAAATCTAGTGTTAGTAATGTCACAAGTGCAGCATTCAGTTTTTCGATTTCTGTTGAAGCCGATTTTCTGAAACATTTTTGTTTGGTTTTGTTACAGCTTTGAAATTTTCAAACCAATGCATGAAATGTGGAAAGGCTATATAATGCAACTTCTAAAGAGTGTCGGGTAAGAATTGTGTTTCAATATTATTCAGAGCTTATATCCAGGAGAAGGAATAGTTGACCAGTTTTTCAAGTCTTGAAACGGTCATGAGACCTAGTCTAATTTGGTTGCACTTTTGTTGAATCTTTCAGGAAAAGTCAAATGGCTCAATGTCTTCTTGGTGCAGATCTACACGGTGCAGTTATTCTAGGTTAAACTCGTTGCACCCTGTGTAGATACATGCGTACATATATCCACTATTATGTTTTTTCTTTTGGCTAAAATAACAATTTTTGAATTAACTTGTCAATGAACCCCTTGAAAAGGCAAGGGCTCTTTCATCTTTAAGCCAGTAGTTTGTAGGACAAATTCATCAAGCAGATGGTCACCTGTCTTAGCCTGCTCTTTTTCCGGCTTCTCGCATTGTTGGCTTTTATCACTCTATTAGGTAGCTGAATATATGCATCAGGATAGGGAAAAGGAAAACCAACGTGGTTGGTGTCCCCAATCTTGCTTTGGGATAGACGAATTTTAACAAATTCTAATGCTGTAGGGTATCAAGTAAAGAGTAAAGTTAAAATGTAACCTATCGAGAAGTTAATAGTGAATCTTCTTGATGTTATTTTGCTGTAACCTCAATGACATGGAACCTCTGTTGGAAATCTGGGTTTATGGTTGTTTAATTCTTGGATAGATTTCTGGATCGTGTATTGGAATTCACTTTCCAAACACTTTATTTCACCCCTCTAAAGCCTTAGGTCATCACGAAATCAGTTCAAGGATAATCTAGAAATTTTATATTCGAAATAAGGCACTGATTTCGTGTATATATATATATTCATCAAATCACGTTTTTATGTATTTAAATGAGAGATCGACGGCTACGGGCGGTTAAACGGTTATAACCGTTAATGGATAAGATATTAGACCAGTTACAACTTAATCAGAGTTCGGTAGAATAAAGCTTGCTATACGGAATATAACAAGTGTATTCCAAAATGGCAGAAGGTTTAGTTTAATGGTCTCACACTTTCCACAGATCAACCTTGCTTTGGTATGAAGGAGTGTCTATGGATGTCCAGTCAACTTATTTGAACTTGTACTAAAATATTCCGACTAGTTGTAGGTTCATGTCAATTGCTTGTTTGACAGGAGGCAGTAAAAGTTATTTGTAGAATAGACAATAAAAATATACCATGCTTGTTGTTGTCGTACTGGCAAAGTTTTTACTTCTATTATCCTTGATCTGTGGCGTGTTACTTTTATTTATTGCAGTTTCACATTGCAAAATGGCTGCCTTCACTGGAGTGAGTGGGATCATGATCCGTGAAACTGCAGAGACATTTGGAATAATCACACAAGCTAATAAATTCGTAGGTAAGAGTCACCATCTATTTAAAAAAGATCAACTTATATGAGCTATACTATAAAGAGGTAATTGCTATCAGCTAGGTTATTGCTAAATGCTTATGTTGGATTAAAATGTGTTTGGAGGTTGGTAGTCATAGGGCTATGTGCACCTTCCTCCCACCTAAAAAATTGGCTTCTTGCAGTCTCTTCTGATTGTTGGGTGATTGACCAACTAGTAGTATATGGATACTCCTTACGTGGAAGTATAAACCAGCAAGCAACAAGCATGCTACAGTTTTCTTCCTAATGTCCGTTATTGATACGAAAGTCAAGATGATTGGAGATAGAGGATTTCTATTTGCTTCTATTTTATCTGTTACATGACATAATCGCTAGAGTGCATCGAAAACAAAGAGGCTCAATTGATGAAGGTATCAATAAAAGAGAAGAGTACAAAATCTAGGGGGTACACCATATATGCATACGACCGAGCTCTACGACTCTAGAAAGGTAACATGCCCCGATAACAAACAACTATGAAACATGCCCCCACCAAAGGATGGTAAAGCTTTCAAAATTCATGGGAACTGCTATAAAAACATGAAACATTTTATGATTGGTGCCCGATACCCAAGATTTTGGTCATTATGGATTCTAGAAGCTTGAAACTTGCTCTCAGTTATATTTAAAATGATTTTAACCTAGGCCTTGCTTGCCATTTGTCGTTTATTATTATCTCATGCTTCTTTCACTCTAAATATAATACACACTGTTGCTCAACGAGAATTCCTGAGCACCCTTTATTACCGTTGAACCTCTTTTTGCTTTTGGAGACATCACAAGGTCCCTTGGTCTAATCTTTTCTGTATATATGTCAGTTGTATTGAAGAAGATTTCTGTATTTATGTTCCAAGTGGATTGCTGGAAGATTACACTGCATGGAGATAAGCTCACTTCCAGGAAAATTGGCCAGTGATTTCACAAATCAGGTAAGCTTCATTATCCTTCATACGAATAAATCCACTGCATAACTATTTTGTTGTGATATTTACGTATACTTCTAAGATTCTATTTACCTGTGAGATTGATTGGGGTGTATTCAAATTGTCGAACTGTTCCCTGTCAATTTCAGGAGAGTGGTCTGGTTTCAGTTTGTAAACACGTCAAACCACTTTTGTATCGGAACGAACCAGACCATTCTTGAAAAAATTAATTCTTTTACTAAATTATAGAAGTAGATTAAAGTCAACTGAAAATTGGAACCTGATGATAAGTATATTTTGCTTCTCCAAAATCATACCAGCTTGTTTGGTTTTGGACATGCTCAAGGCTAAGGAATTGTGAGACTGGTGAGGTTGACCATCCATATTTGTTCTACAGGTTTGGTCGAGTAGCCATTCCTAGAGCTGAATCAAAAAACATTTCCTCTAACAGAGCAGGTAATATCATTTCATTCATCTATTTGCATAGAATGGGATACAACCTTATTTTATTCTATACAGACATTTTATAAATATAAGCACTTTTTATGTGCTCTTCAGACTATATAGAAGAAATTCAACGGAAAACGTTTCTTGGATATAGGGTAGGTGAACCATTGATACTTAAGTTTAAGGCATGAAATACATTTATTGTTATGTCTATACTATTTATCTGTATATATAATAGGGTCAGGTATAGGGAAAAACAAAAAAAAATAAAAAATTGAGGAACACCTAGTATCCATTCAGCTTTATGGTAAACATATGTGCATACAAGTAATTGTAAGTAATTTTTCTAGGAAACATCTACAATCTTACAGATGCACAGTCGGTTGTTACGGTGTTCTTCAGTTTTTTCATTTTTTTGGGGGTTTTCCTCTCTCTCTCTCTCTCTCTCTCTCTATATATATATATATATATATATATATACTATATTATAAAACATTTGGCTAAAACTCTTAAAAACTCTAAAAACTCTTAAACTCTTAAACCCGTTCATCCCT